GATTTTAAAATGAGACATGAAGTAGCAGGAATAGCTAAGAAAGACTTAGTGACAAACTATAAATAAATAAATAAAATTCCAATAGTAAGGAAACTAAAATAAAAGATATTCACAAAGATTATATTGAAAAATCTAATAAGAGTTTCAATCAACTGACCCATGAACACAGAGAGATGTCTGTAGTTGAAAAAGGGGGTTGGAATAAGATGAAACATGTTAAGGGTGGTTTTGTATATACAGGCTCACTAGGAAATCAGAAAGCACCCACTACAGCAACAGAAGAATGTTGGGCAGAAAAAAGTTTCCTGGAGGGTCAGATTAATAATTGGTTTGAAGAGGGTTGTAAGATTATGGAAAAACCCAAGGAAATGAGTTTTGCCCAGGAGCAAAAGGAGAACAATAATTTGGAGGGTTGATTATAAGTGTCAGAAAATCCCACTCTATTGTTTTCTGAAAGCCCTGAGAAACTCTGTATGGACAAGGATCTTGTAACTAAAGAAAAGTCCTTAGCAATGACAGAGCCTAGCTTAAAATTGAATCCTGGAAAAGATAAAAACTTACATGAGGCTCAGGAAACATCATATTATCCTGAGGCTGTGAAACTGAAAACTTTAGAGGGAAGTAAACTGCAGTTAGCAGAGGCAGTACCTAGAGAATTGGTGCAACTAAACTGGAGGTCTGAGAAGCTGGGTAACTCTGCATCTGCACAAGCCCTTGAAAACCTATAATGCAAACCCCTATATAAAAAACAGAACAATAAAGAAATAGATGAGACTATGTGTACATCCAAAATTAATCAATGAGTTAAGGTTGCATTTCAAGGATTTATTAGTCATATTTGGTATAGAGAGGAACAGATCCTCTGGTGGCAGCGAAAAGGGTTGAAAAGTACATGTCATGCCCAAAAGGGAACCTGGGTGTGTAGAGAAAGAAACAGGGGAACTGGGTGTGGGTGACATATATAAATTAGATTTCAGAGCCAAGCAAACTGTATTAATTAACTATGAACTAAACACCAAAGGATATAGAGTAATGCATTTGAAAATAGAAGAAATCAATATTAGACATGTAATTTATTTTGATGAATTGAAGAACACTGATAAAAGAATGAACTATACTATATAACTATGAAGAAAAAGATCAATATAATAAACCACTCATAGACATAACAACAGTAATATCTCCAAAATCTGATTCAGACAAAGGTGTGGAAGGTGATGAAATACAAGTTGGAATCAGTACAGAAATAGAAGGGGATAGAGATGTCAAAATGTTGAACATGAAAGGTCTCTCAAGACACAAGATTTTCCAGAATCATCTGCTAGACCCTCGTCTCGAACTAATTTCTGAATACTTCCTAATAATCTCTCCTACCTTGTAAGATCATCATTTATAAATTAACCAGCATCATGAGAAGACAAGAAACAGATATCAATGGAAGAATCTATGAAGTAGAAAGTCTTGCATTTTTCCTTGTATAAGATGCATCCATGTATAAGACACCTCCACTTTTCTAACCCAAAATTAAGAAATCAATATTTTAAACATAAAACAGAACACAGTAGGTAATATTTACCTACCAGTACTGTCATCATATCGTTCGTTCGTTCAGTCGTTTCTACGGGATTCTTGCCCACAATATGCCTGTCATCATATGCATCACACTTTAACTTTATTCAGCCTCTAGGCTCAGAGCACTCAGATATTAGGAGCCCCAGTTGCATCTGAGCCCTATTGCAATTGGTTTGTTCAGCATCAGCTGATGTCTGTTACATAAGGCTCCTGACTGGAGGCAGCTAAGCTTCAGGATTGAAGGAAGCCTATTTGCAGAGGCAAGGTATAGGCCGTTCTGTTCTCGCCTTGGCTTACTTCCATGTATAAGATGACCCTCAATTTTTAGTTTAATGATTTTAGGAAAAAGTAGTGTCTTATGTATGGAAAAATACAGTAGCAAAGAAGGAAATAGATGCTTTGCATAAAAATAGAACATGGATTTTAGCCAAGCACCTAACTTCTAGGTCTGATAACCAAGCAGGGGAAAAGCTCAGAACCTAGCTCCTTTTTTCATCAGTTAGTCGCTTCTCACCCAAACACAAAGTAATTGCCAGGGCTGTTTTTCAACAAGTGTAAAGGTAGTGAGCAGAAGACTGTATTCTGTAGAGCACCTTGACTGCTGCTTTTAGCTGTTTCAACATTCAGGCTGCCCTTTGCTTTGTAATGCTTTGCATCCTTTTTCCTGCTGGCAACGCAACTACAATATTGCGAAGCAATATCAGGAAATTTCCTGGCATTTTGAATTATGGATACAGAAGCAGAATATCCCACACTCACAAACTGGAGAGGTTTTGTTTTGTTTTGTTTCAGAATTGAATCTTTGAAAGCTTGGCAGCATTCTAAACAAATTGCTGCTACTTGGTCCAGCAATACAGACATAACTATTGCCTAAGCATTAGAAACTGACAGCAAACTGACAAATGCCAAGGATGCATACTGCAAGTGCTAAAAATATGAACACATTTAAAAAGGAGCTCAAAACGAACATAAAAGCTTCAGTATTTCCAAGGGATATATACTGACAGAGAAAAATAATGCTGATTCTCCTGACCAATGCTGCTCTCCCCTTTATGTTTTGTAAGAAAGTACAGGGTGAAGCAAGGGATCCAAAAATAGCTGGAAATGAAAGCTTTCAATCATATAGCAAGAGGGATGGAGGGAAAGCTTTTTACAGAGGGAATTCTGTCACATTCCCCTCACAAGTATGTAAGTTTCTTCTTGGGTTTTCCATATTCTTTCACCATCATTAAAGCTCTGCAATTATACACATTTGATTTTAAAATTACACAATGTAAAATTCGAGACATGAGTGTAATTTAAAAGAAGAGAGCTAGAGGAAAATTAAAGATACACAAACATGCTAAAACACTGCATAGAAAAACACTGGAGCAAGCACACAGTCATGCTATTTGTTATAAAGCTCTGAAATTCACAAACATGTACCATACTTTGTTTTCCAGCCCCCTGATCATCCTTGTCACCCTTTTCTGAACTTTTCCACAAGAACATTTGTAGCAACAAAAACCACAATGGAAGTCCCTTAGCATTTCATATGCATATACAGTGGTGCCTCGCAAGACGATTGCCTCGCTGGATGAAAAACTTGCTAGACGAATGGGTCCAGCGAGGTTTTTGATGCCTCACAAGACGATTGTTCCTATGGTGGTTTTTCGCAAGATGAATGTTGCTGTTCAGAGGCTAGCCGAGCACCGTTTTTGAAGATGCCACCCCTTTCCCCTGCCTTCAGCAAGCCTCTGAATGGAAAAAGGAAAAAAAAAAAGAAAGCCTTTTTACGTTTGGAACCTTACTGATGGCAGGGGGAAAGGGTGCAATCTTCAAAAATCATGTTGGGCTAGCCTCTGCAAGCGCCCACTGCCACGTGGAGGGACTCCTGAAAATCCTTTCATGGCGCAGGGAAGCCTCTAAAGCTGGCATGCACAGTTGCAGGGGACCTCCGCCAGTGCTCCGATGGTGCAGGGGAAGCTGAAACAGCTTCCTCGGATTTAGGTGGTAAGGAGAGGTAGAGTTGGAATTTGTGACACCGAACCTGAAAACCCTGGATAATGTCTCCTAGCAGTTTCATGTAGATGTTAAATAATATAGGAGACAGAACCCAGAGGGACCCAATAGTTCAGTGGCCAGGGTGTTGAACAGGAATCCCCCAGCAACACTTTCTAAGTTCTCTCCTCCAGGAAAGACTGGAGTCACCATAAAACAATGCCCCCAATCTCATTCCAGAAAGGGGTCAGAAGTACACTATTGTTGACAATATCAAAAGCTGCTGAGAGGTCCAGCAAAACTAACAGGGACACAGATTCCCTTATCCAGTCCCCAGCAGCAAAACTAACAGGGACACAGATTCCCTTAGCCAGTTCCCAGCGTAGGTCATCCACCAAAGCAGTTTCCACACCAAAGCAGTCTCCATCCCATAACCAGGGCTGAAGCCAGTTTGAAATGGATCCAGATAATCTCTCATCCAGAAACACAATATGACAGGTCTGGCAAAGACTAGACCACCAGGTTCTGCACTTGAAATTGTATACAAAGCGTAAAGAGGCACACACTGGAGTTGTGAAGTGAAAGAAACTGAACATAGAGGTTGTGCTGTCAAAAGAGTCATTATGGTCAGTGTGGAAGGTAATTCTGGAAAGTAATCCAGAGGCAAATGCAAAGGACATACCCCAGCATTGCAGCAACCAGGTGATCTTGCATTAGAATAAATCATTCTCTCCAATTTTTTTAATTAATTCCAAAGGTGAAAAGGAGACAGCTCAAAAGGAGTGTACCCACCATCACAGAAAGGAGTGTTCCCACTGTCAGAGAAAACATGCTTCACATCAGACTTCACTTTCAACATCACCCATTCATCCCCCACCCACCCACCTACCTGAATTGATCCTTACAACAGAAAAGCCCTGTTGCTTTTCTACATTGGCACAGGCAATCACACATATCTGAACCAATGCAAATACATTCACTTGGAAAAAGTAGAAACTCCAAAGGCAGAGGGAAAAAAAGTGCAGATTAGAAGGGGGGATGTCTGGGCTGATCTGTGTTGAGCTACACATTAAATAGTCTGTGGACAATAATACAAATCAGATTGCGCCAATCCTAGAGCAATTCTGCCATTGGTTTGCTCATGTCGTCACCTCTTAAGTCAGGAGGCGGGAAGAAAACATTCCACTGAATATGTATGTGGTTTTCGGTTACTTATCCTGAGGCTAAGGGGTGAGCTGAAACAATGAAAAAGAGTGTAGATTGTGCTTTACATTTGCAATTGCTAGTATGTGGTTTGCTGACTCATTAATTAAAGCCCAAGCTACTGTCCACCAGTTAAGAAGAGACTTAATTAATGAAACCAATAACCTGTACAGGCCAAATTTCAAAATGATTACAGGCAATTGGTTGTGCATGCAAACAAGACTAATTATCTGCAGAGTACTTACCTCCCTGTGGGAAGAACTGAGAGTAAATTTCTTTGAAGGTCTCTTCATTAACAACCCCGCTGGGACATTCCTAAAAGAAGTTGTAAACAATGCATATGAATGACATGTTCATGAAAGCTTCTGTCTACAGGAGTACCTAATTGTGACCAAATAAAGAATAAAACACACAAAAAACCCATATTTCTGCTAAAAGGTCCACTGTCTGCACAAGTACTGGTAACAGGGAAAATTGTATACAGGGGCCCCCTCTCCTTTTTATGTGTGCATGTGTTTGTTTGCTTGCTGTATTCTTGAACAGATGTACATTCAATGCCACCTGAGGTAAGAGACTTTATGCCACTGACAGTAGAGATTATTTATGATACTCAGGTTGAAAGAGAGCAGGATGAGAACTGTCCTAATAATGCAAAGCTGTCAGTTCCACTGGAGGAGGTGATCGGGTTGGCGGGGGAGGTAGCAGCAACAGGCGCCCGAGTGCATGTGAGTGCTCCTTGTAGCAGCCCTCCAGCTCCTCTGTCTGTTTTCCTTAACTCCCAGATTAGCCTTTGGGTGCTACTTACAATTTTCACCTTTTATATGCTGCCCCTAGAGGATTTTCCTCAATCTACCAAATTTTAATAATGAGTCACAGCTGTCAACACTAACAAGGTTTATTTATAGGAGAACAGTTCAATTATACATGGAAATCAAAGCTGGTCTTATTTTATTCATTTAATATATGTTCTTTTGATTCGAGATATGCTTGCGTAGTTAGATTTTCTTTAATCATGATTTTACTATATTCAAACAGTTTCTTTTATTGTTATCACTTTTAATTCATTCAATTATTAACCACCCAAACTTTCCAAGACTTGTCCTATCCCTATCTTTTTCAATCTCTCCATCTGTCTATTTCTCTTCTCTCTAACACAACCACGGCTCTAACTGCTTTAAACTGTCATTAACTGTCTTTTTGTCTTTTTTCCTCTTAGTTCCGCCCCTCCTGTCATGTCATAGGCTCTGACTTGACTGATATGAGTGACCTGAGAGCTGCCCGTCACACTCCTTTGCCTCCATCTCCTGCTGCTGCTGCCTCCGCCACCAGAGTGGACAAGGCGTGAGCCCTGGAGGAGACAATTGGGTGATGGTGGTGGCAGCAGCAAGAGGCGCCCGAGTGCAGGTGCAACTGCTCCTTTGCTTCTGCCTCCTTCCGTGTATAAAATGACCCTCAATTTTTCATCTGATTATTTTAGGAAAAAGTTTCGTTTTATACACAGAAAAATACGGTAGTCTTCTAAGTCAAGGGTCTCCAAACATTCGAGCATGAGGGCCACATCACATACTTTCTACATTTTTGAGGGCTGAAGGAACATGCGTGTGTACCCCTGTGTGCAGCCACATGTACAGATGCACAGAGGCAACCCCCAACCATCCAGATGCCTGCCCAGATGCCCCCGCCCCCTGCATGCACACTTGCATCCCCATCCATACACATGTATGGGCTGAAGGGAATGGGCCGGATACAACGGCATGGTGGGCCAGATGTTGCCTGTGGGCTATAGTTTGGAGACCCCTGTTCTAAGTCATGCTGGAATTAACTCCTTCTGGGAAAATGCAAGCTTTGAGGAATACAGGCTTCAGATTTTTCCCTGGGGGTCTATAATGTGCTGTAAGAATATTTAGGGAGAGGTTTCAGCACCAGTTCATTTGACATGTCTCTCCTCAATCTCCCACAGTTCAGGTCCGTTGCAGAAATTGGGTTCTGGTATTATAATTTGTTCAATTTTTTGTATATTGCTCAGCATTTTATATAACTCCATGAAGTCTCCCCTTCCTCTTCTTCTGCCTAAACTATAAAGCAACAAATGTGTAACTTTTCTATCTTGGGATGTTGTTCTGGTTTTATGATAGTTTGGGTAGTTGTTTGCTTTCCTTTCCCCAGCTCTAACATTTTAAGTGCAATGATAAGTACTATAAGCTACTCAATTATTTTAAAACCCTCCAGTTTATGAATGTGGGATATTGTGCTTCTGTATCCACAATTCAAATGCCAGGAAATGGCCTGATATTGCTGCACAACATTGACCCTGTGTTGCTGTGGTGAACACCCTAAGATATTCATTGTAAGTTATGAATTATTCATTGTATATGTTAATGTGGTTAAGAGGCGGGGCTGAGAGAGATGTTAAAAGGTGAAGCCTGAGAGGAGAAGTCAGTTAAGTTGAGTCAGAGTGGGTGTTAGGAATCAGAGAGAGAAGAGGTCTGAGGAGTGATTAGTCTGAGTGAGAACTGTGGTAATTAATATAGAAGATTAATACTTGAAACTTAATGAAATTTGAAGAATGTGCTTATGAATTGTTCCAGAAACCAATTGTAATCAATAAACCTGCTATATTAAAAAGTCAGTACTGAATTGTCACATTCCCGGGGGTTACAATAGCCAAAGTCCGATAAACCAGTCCAGGGTCAAAAATACCAAGAATGCAAAGCCAATGTCCATAAATCAACTCACAGAAGGCAGTCCAGTGTCAAAGTCCAGAGTCTGATACACAGCGTAGTCCAGAGTCAGAGTCCGAAGTCCAATACCAGCGTAGTTCAAGGGCAGAGTCCAGAGTTAAGGGTCAGGAACATGATACAAGAAACGTGGATGCAAGCCAAGGTTTTGACTCCTTGCTTCCACAGAATTTCTGGCTTCACTGGGAGCTGTTTTATAGTAAAACAGCTCCTTGAGCTGCTGGAAAGCTTTCTATCCTGTTAATACTCAGGACTAGATGCACGTAGGTTTCTGTGGACAGCCTTTGAGCGATCCTCTGATCTTCTGGTCCTAAGTCTTTCCCGAAGCCTGCCCTGAAGCCTGTCTGCTGTGGAAGGAGAATCTGGAGGCGGTTCAGGTGTTTCTGATCTCTCCACATTCTCTTCAGCCACAGTTAACCCTTCGGGTTCCAGGTCTTCGGAAGCACTCATGACACTATCCCCCTCCCCAGGACTCCCCCCTTCAGATGGGCCGGGTCGATCAGGGTAAGTAGCATGGAACTGCTGTATCAGCTCAGGGGCGTGTAGATTACTGGCGGGTTCCTCAGGACCATAACCCTCCCAATCCACAAAATACTGAAGGCCCCCTCGGTGGATTCGGGAGTCCAGGACCTGATGTACCTCATATTCTTCCTCACCATAGACCAAGACAGGTGGAGGTGGAGCCGGGGGCGAAGGTCGAGCAGAGTCTGGAGCTGAGACAGGAACAAGGAGGGATCGATGGAAAACCGGGTGGACACGGAGAGTATCTGGAAGTC